CCTAGGCTTAGGGTGGGCTGAGAGGACGTGTAAGCCCCATACAATTTTGTAAGGGTCGCCTTTCTAGCACAAGTTTGCATGTGAAGTTTTATAACCACCATACATTTTGTAGGTTTAGATTTTTCAGAGTTATGGATCTTTGGATAATTAAGATCTGATGACTGTAGACATATTTGAGCATCCAGAAAAGGCTCCCAGGAAAGTTATATATGATCATGAGAGAACATCTCGCCCTGTCCACGGTCGTATCCACAAAAACCAGAGGGGAACACTTCTCCGACTAGGGAGAGGCCAGGGAAGAAGGAGGAGGAGAGGGGGATCACTTTGCTTCCTCTTCTGGCAGCGCTGAAATGCTGATGGAACTGGTATCACGGCCATCATCGTCACCACAATATCCTTCGTCAAAATCTTCCTTTGTCCATTAGCTTCATCCTCTATAAACCTTTGTAATTCTTTGGCAAACATGATATCGTGTGCTATAAATTTTTCTCCATGATTTATTACAACTGTGTCAGTACCAGAAACTGGAATATCTCCATGTGCCCAAAACCCTAATATGAAGATTATGTCTATGCTTGAGTAGTAACTTCTTGTATGAAATTAGTAAAATAGTATGAAAATTTGTTGCACACACGATATGTTGATTTCTATGATATCCTTTGTGACTTTTGTATGAGCGCATACATATATTAGGGGGCACATAGGGTTTGCAATGTGTCATGGTGAAGGATGGAGGGGATGCAATAGTGATATAATACAAAATCCAAGTAATTCAGAGTTATATCATATGAGAGTATGGGGACCCTAGATCTTAGTTATGGTCGGGTTTTACCTTAACAACTTCAAATATTTGCATATTGCTTGTTGGGGGTTCAATCGTAAGAACATTTGAGTCAGTGGTTTTGCAACATGTAAGCTTAGCCTCTAATTAACCTAGAAATAAACATGAGCTTCACTTATGGTGGGAACAGACATAATGCCTTGCTTGTCCAGGTTGTGAGAGTATTTTGAGGTGAGATTGGGAAGAGATCACATAAGTAGAACATTGAGATGCATCTTTTACATTATCTTTAGACTTTGCCAAATATATAAAAGATACAACCACTTTAATTATCACAAAATAATCAATTCTAAGAACACTTGTTCCAATTGGATACCACTACTTCCTTCAAAACCACCACACACTCACTCTCTTTAATTTACTTGCATCATTTGCTTTTAACACCTAACTTTAGTTTGCTTGTCTTCACAAAACAACCTGCATCTATCAATTTGACTTCAGTAAAGTAGAGGCTGAAATTGCATAGAAGGTTGTGTAACTGACATACATAACTTGATAGAATAAGAGGCCTACCTATTTGCTTCTGCGGGATTCAACACTCAATACTTTCACATCCGTAATAGGGAAGTGTTATAATTATCCCTTGCACTTGAGGATAATCTGGTAGTGGTGCCTTGTGACATGGGTCCATGGAGTGTCAGATCTTGCTCGGCTCATTGTGCTCTTCTTCCATAGGCGTTCCTTGTTCGGTGGGTTGACACCCTCGATTTTTGGCAAGAGGGGATAGAGTTCCGACAGAGACTGGACGATGATGTTGAGGGCCGGTGGTTTATGAGAGCTCCTACCCGTCACGATGGCAATGTTGTCATATATTTATGCCACGTTATTTTGGCTCTCTCGGCCTAAATATTGGATCTTGTTGGGTGGTTTGTGCCAAAGGTGGCGTCGGTGTATGTGGGTAGCTTGGTGACGTGATCATGCTCCAAATTCTCTCCATTGGCGACATGTTCATGCGTGCTCTCGGGTGAGCTGGGAGCTCGTGAAAGCTATTTTTCTCCGGTGGCATGCCTCCCTATGAGACACAACTTCTTCTCTTGTATGATTGCGAGCGTGCATGAGGATCTCAACATTGAAGCTGCACTTAGTTTTATTTTTGCCATTTGCTTTCGTTGTTAGCTGATTCTTCAACACTTTATATCTACCATTTGGGGCTTTATTAATTTGAAATCAGGCATTATGCATATGACTTAAAAGTAATGCAATGCAGTGCACACATCACTCTAGATCGTAAGAGCATTAGGAGAGATGACAGCATAACAGATTTTTGAGAGACCAGAAGAAGAACAAAACTTGAGTAATACACATTTGAGAGGCCAAAAGGAGAGTAAAATGTGATAGCCTATTGAAGTTTATATGGGAAAAAAAGCTAAACTGGGCCAATAGTCCAGGAGCAAAAGTCGGCCTATTCCAAAAAGGAGTAGAAGAAAAATAAAGTTCTTTGTGTGGATCCTATAAGTGAAAGCATGCTCAAGTATTCTTACTAGGGAGGTTTTCTCCCATCATGCTGTAGTATTCGAATAGGACCTTGTACGTCCTAGGCTACACCTTTTCATTTCTATATTGTTTGCCAGTAGTCTTTATTTTCTATTGCTGTAT